AATCTATATTTATACATTCCAGCGGCCAGTGCGCATTCACCTGGCGTCTTGAAAGGGCTCATCTTTGGACTTGTAAAGAAATTCCGTCGTCAAAATCCTGACAACACGGATTTTCAACAATTTATTACAAGTCTCTTTTGTCGACTTCAATATCGAGGCTACAGACGTGAAACTCTCTTGAAGCAATTTCATCAAGCTTTATCGAATGTCACAGTCCCTCGTCCACGACGAACCCAAATCTTCTTTAAAGTCCCCTACGACCCCAACGGTCCGACCTCAAAGGAATTTAAAAAGATTTTGAAATTGGATAACTTCCAATCTGCGCTTCAAGAAGTCGGAATTGACCAAGTGTCACTCTGTTTCCTTAAAGCCAAAAACCTCAGGCAATTACTATGTCCTACGACTTTACGTACGGACATTTCCCCCACACCTGCTCAGCTTCTGTAGTACAGGTGTGGGGGATAAAACCCCAAAACCCTGAAACCTAGTTGGGATTGACTAATCCCAGCCACTTTGGGACTAACTAATCCCAGCCACTTGGGACTAACTAGTCCCAGCCACTCGGAACCTCCGCGACATTTACTCCCGTACAATGCTTGCGTGACCGGCCCTAACCCCCTTCCAAAGGCTCACCAGCCAATGGAAACCCGGTCCACTCCCGTAAACCGATTGTGTGACCAACCCCACCCAGTCCCTACGGCCTCCCAGCCAATGAGACCCCTGTCGGAATGAGAATACTGCCACCAACACTCTGCTCAGGATTCCCGACCATAGTGAAACGTAGTATAACTAGCTGTAAGTTCTATAGCACACAACCCGACGAAACCAAGACAAGTTCCGCTGACGAAGAAATATCGAAAGGACCAATGAAATTCCTCCAGCTAACTCGGAAACCAATCGAATGGGGGCTCCGCCCCCAAACCCCCATGACGCGCTTCGCGCGTGCGCGCTACGCGCGGGGTCGCTTCGCTCCCGGTAGTTAGCCTAATTCTGAATTCACCCCTTCGGACATACGTCTGCTTGTCTTTGGTGTTCAACACGGCGCTCCCTCCCTATCACCCCGAAACCCCCAGCCGCGAACCCAATTCAGGATGGCCTCTCGTCGAGACGACGATCGCAGGCCGCCGCGCCCACCACCCAACGACCATGACCGGCGCCCTGCCGCCTCGTTATCGTCCACTGCCGCCGCCGACCGCGTCCGTAGCCGCCACCATGCCGCAACGACAACAACCGCAGCCGACCGCATGCCCCAACACGTCCTCGACGTCATCGACGCCGCCGCCGCCAACTACCGCCGACTCCAGCAGCGCGTGTGGAACAAGCAGCGAGCCGTCGAACGCCTCCTCCAGCGTGCCCCCAAGTCGCTCGCGTCTAAGAGTGATGTGCACGTCTCGAAAGCCCTCGCAGCTGCGCGTCCCGCGGAAGTGGAAGAAATACGCCGCGCGTTTGGCCAAGCAAGGGATGGAGGCGTCGAAGCCATGCATAGGATCATCGGCCAAGTCGCGTCCGCCGAAGCCACGCACGCTCAAGCCGAATTGGGATCCGTGCGCTCAACGACTGTAGCCGCCATCGAGGACTTTTTCCGTCGCGCGAGCCTGGCCGCCACGTCCGACACCGCCCCATCGGGGGTCGATCCTTCAACCACGACCATCAACCGAGGGGAGGCCCCGGCTGGAGATGCCGGGGGGCTGCATCCATTATTTTTCACAATGATGTCAGCTTCCATATCTCTCCTCGACTCCAAGATCCAAGACGCCGAGCTCTCCTTTGCGATGTCCCTCGCTACCAAGGCGATCAAGGCCGAAGCCGCCGCTGCCAAGAAAGCCGCCGCCGCTGCCATGGAGGTCGACACCCCCAACGACGTCATGGTCGCCGACCTGGTCAAGCGCGAGATCACCAAGTCCACGGCCGCCCTGCGCAAGGAAGTCAACCAACTACGTGCAGCGTTAAACGTCAAGGCGGGCCGTCCAGGGCAAACGACCCAAGCCAAGACCAAGCCCAAGGCCAAGGCGCCAAGCGGTGGCGCAAGAGCCGTCGATCCACCGCGCGCCAGAAGCAACAAGCCACCAAGGAACGCGACCGCCAAGCAAGCCGCCAAGCCTCGCGACGCCAAGAACTCCAAGTCCAAGCGCGAAGACACCAAGAAACGTACCATGAAGCAATAGCTAAGTTAAATAGACTAGCTAATCGAGCTGTGTTTGACCCAGATGCCTCTATCAAGACAAATGCGCTCAACATCTTTGCTTCCCGGATTGTGTCTGTCGTGGATGTCGAGCCCTACAACCTCGCCTACCATGACCTTACGCCTGCTGAGACCAAGATTCCACCAACACTCAAGCGACTTCTTGGTCTTGGACTAAAGTTCATTCCGACGCCCCCCCGACTAACTAACGAGAGGGTGTTGGACCATTTCCCGTATTTCGAACGTACTATTCGTTTACGGTGGCAATTTGATCGAGGAAAGAGGAGATTTAAGGAAACTGACAAAAGTGCTGGAAATCGCATGCATAGAATTTCGACGGGTTTGGAAACATTCTCCCCGGAATCCTCCGAGGAGGCTCGGCTAGAGCCTCCGAGGAAAATTTTATGCCCCAACCCATCTTTTCAACCAAGATTGGGTCATTCTGTGCTTGTAGAGGCTCCTCTACGGACCATGCGAACATCCATCACTCAGGCCTCGTTCCAAGTAAGGCAGAGACACTTTAACATGACTCAGGAACCCCGTCTCCTACTCAAGGTCATGTCACAGTCACCTCACCTACAAGTATTATCCACCGATAAGAATCTTGGACCAGCTGTCATGACAAGACAACAGTACATACTCTTTTGTCTACGACATCTCAAAGACACCTCCGTCTACGAGAGATCTATGGCACCTGCTCAGGCCGTTACTAAACTCCTCAAATCCCACGTTAGGAAGTTGTACCATACTCTTTTCCATGAATACGGTACACAACCTGACTGGGATCACACGAAAATCATCACCTTCCAATTGGACAAAAAGATACTGAACCGGTTCTATGCGTTGGCCAAAATACACAAACCAACACTGGAATTACGACCAATCGTGTCCAACTCTGGCTCGATCATGGAGGGACTTTCGAAATGGCTCGATTACAAATTGCAGCCATATCTTAAACAAATCTCTCCATACCTTCGAGATTCCGATCAACTCATCGATGACCTTACGGATGTCGATTGCGATCCGGATGATGTTATGATCACTTATGATATCAGCGCCTTGTATACGTCAATCAATACAAATCATGCGTTATATATCATGAGCCTCGTGTTACATTCAGACCCATGGAAAAACGGAATTCTCAGAGGACTTGAACTCCTTCTGAAATCCAACTACTTTGTATTTGGTGACACTTTATGGCACCAATTACAAGGCACAGCCATGGGCACGCCAGTCGCTCCAACTTTTGCATCACTCTATCTTGGGTATATTGAAGAGCAAATTCTTTTACCCCAATTTATGACGATGTTTAAATATTACAAGCGGTACATTGATGATGGTTTTATCATTCTACGTCATGCAGAATTGAATAAATTCGCCATAAATCACTTTCTGGCAATCTTTCGTCGAGAGACAAAACTCAAGTTTACGCATACTTCGGATTCCAATTCCGTTGCATTTCTAGACTTGTGGATAAAGAAAACCCCGCATAAATATACATTTAAAACGCACCAAAAAGCGTTAAATCTATATTTATACATTCCAGCGGCCAGTGCGCATTCACCTGGCGTCTTGAAAGGGCTCATCTTTGGACTTGTAAAGAAATTCCGTCGTCAAAATCCTGACAACACGGATTTTCAACAATTTATTACAAGTCTCTTTTGTCGACTTCAATATCGAGGCTACAGACGTGAAACTCTCTT